TTCTTTTTATATTAAAAAAAACGTACTTACAGTCTGTGAGTCAGAAGCGCCAGACTGTCCTTGTAAAGTTGGAACTGCCCTACTTTATAGAAACAGCCTTTGTGCACAGCATTGTAGCCTACTCTGCAGGTTCAGGAAACATTATCTATGCACGAATAGCTTGTAACACTCCAAAGAGAAAGGAAAATTTGAAATTGCATCATATGACCCCTTTAAACAACATTAATTAAATTAAAACAATTAAAACATTAAGTAAATTAAAACAAAATCATTTTAATAGGAATCCATGCAGTCAGGAATTTCGTGTGAGGGAAGATTTTCCCATGCAAATTTCACAATTTAAAGGTGCAGTACGCAATTTTTGAGAAACGCTATTGGTATTTTAAATCTCCAAAACAAACATGCCCCTACCTGAAAGGACCACACCCCAATTCTGATAGCTCTGCCCCCAAATTCACAACTACGCTATGCAACACAGACACCTCCCCCATCACGAGTAGACACGCCCCTTACAGGTGATTGGCTACAAGTGTATTTTGGTGCCAGATTCACTTTCAACTGTGTTTCTCAGAAATCGCTTACTGCACCTTTAATGCTCTGTTAGCAAATAGAAAACTAGAGTGTTTGAGAATGACTTTTGTGTGAGCAATAGAATCTTTTTTGTCTATGAAAATCTGATGAAATTTTTCTGATGCAACTAAACCTTTAGACCAGGCTTCCTCAACAGATGGCCCGTGCGAGAAAAAAGTTTGACCCGCGCTAATTTCAAATAATGTGGCATGAAAATTCAAACACAGCATCAGAAAGCTACATTAACTTACATCGTGTCTACACCGGACGCGAGCAGCGCGACGCAATAAAATACAAGAACTCATTATAATCAGTGATGCTGTCTTGCATGCGGCACGACACGACAAATCCCCAACAGTAAACTGCTGACTCGTTCTATTTATAATGTACTGACACAACATTCAAATGATTTGCAATGCTTTGTCGCGTCCAGTGTAGGTACGATGTGACAGCAAAAACATGGCGAGTGTGTAGAAAAGAAAAGTGGACATGGAAAATATATGATTCAAATGTGAATGGACTGAACAGTTTTGAGTGAGCGAGTGAGTGACTGATATCTTTGTTATGGAATACACGTGTTGGTTCACAGTTTTAACGTACAAGTTTGCTTTTTTATTTATTTTCAAGATCTGAGGTAAAATATCTATTGTTGCTTTCACTATGGCTATAAAGATAATGCAAAGTAATATTCAAACTCACATTAGACACTTTTAACATTGAATAAAGCACATAATCATTACCTGAGATTATCATTGTCATATTTTGTATGTTGTTCCTGCTGCGACGTCGCAGAAAATAAAAAAAACGTTCCTAAAATAGAATCCCATGTAGCTTATTGCCACGTGTCGCTGTCGCGGGTGGTTAGGACAAAAAACTACAAGGAAAAGATACTTTTTATCACGTCGTGTCTGATTGGGACACACGGTGTTACAGTTTGATCCCCCAATCTATGCATAAAAATATTAATACTGACGAATCTATTAATTGAATCTGCAATAATAACATATATATATATATATATATATATATATATATATATACTGTATATAGGTCAGTGGCCCTTGGCTTGGTATTGGTGGCAGAATTCGGCCCTCTGCGAAAACTAATTGAGGATCCCTGCTTTAGACTTTAAATAAACAAAGTCACCTACATCTTGGATGCCCTGGGGGTAAGCAGATAAACATCAAAATTTCATTTTTGGGTGAACTATCCCTTTATATATATTTACTTTCAATTACTTAAATCAAAAGTTTTTACTAAACAAACACTGCTATTGTAAACTAAATACTACTAATTGTAAATGTAACATTGTATACATGTCTTGATATTTGGCTGCAACCTTGAATGGCAGACAGGCATATGCAAAGTCAAACTGCTGTTTATGCACATAGCTCAGTGCCACACATTCGTAAACACTGACCACCCACTCACTGTTGTTTAAGCAACAGCTGCCCAGTCAATCTGATGCGAAGCTTAAACCAGAATAGCATCTCATACCTCACAGATATATATTAATAGCAGACATCAAACAAGAAAGAGATAAAAGAGGGAAATTTAACCATGTACAGTCACACACTCACAGCGGCAACAGCCACAAGCATTGGCATATTCATTCAGCGAATGAAAAAAAACGAAAGAGAAAGGGAGACTCTGTGTATTATCTGCAAATGGAAATGAATCTAATGGATCATAAAGAAGGACAAAGTATGAGTCAGAAATAGAGGGGGAATGATGGGAGGCGAGTGGAGGGAAAACATGAGGATGCTCAGAGGAATAGAAAAACAAATAGTGCCTCTCTTACACACACTGGGATGGGATACAGAATGGGAATGGAAGTGGATGATATTCACAGACAAGCCAGCATGCAAGGTGACTCAAAACACACACCCACAAAATCAAAACGAAAACACATGATAGGCAGATCCAGGCAGGCAGATGATCGGGCTACACAACCTCTAGTGGCACGGAAACACGCAGACGAAGCTCTCTGAAGCAACTGACTCTCCTACCTTGCAGCAGACTCTGTAGGTTCAGCTGAGCCTCCTGGTGCAGTTCCTGCACACACTCCGGCCTACTCCACGAGCCGAACACATTCACATGCTGTTGCCATGACGATTGGAAGTGGGCCGTTCGTTTGCTCTCCGAGTCCAAGTTGGTGGCGACTGGCAGAGAGAGAGACAGAGGGAGGGGAGAAGTACAAGAGATGCAGATAGAAGGAGGAAGTCAGAGCAAGAGAAAAGGAGAGAGAGAGAGAGAGAGAGAGAGAGATGCGAAAAGAAGGGAGGGGAGAGAAAAAGATACATAAATATAAATCGATACAATTTATAATTTGCAGAGCAAATGAGCCGCACACTAAATTTGCAATCAAAGGGCTAACAATTAATAACAATTAAATCATTACAACCCTAATATGTTTTTCTATCTGGCAGTTCGAGCTGGACACCCAACAGAAAAGACATACTGACATGCATTCATAAACAAACAATGTTCTTTTTTTCTCTTGGTTTATGGTAGTTCTGTATGCTCAAGGCCTGCTGACACCAAAGACATTAATAATGACAACTATAACTATAAAGTTTTAATAATCACTCCAATTCTAAGAGAGTCCAGGATACAGAGAAACAATATAGTTTGAATAACTTTCAAAACAAATTTCCAGCTGAGCAATGATAAAAACATTGACAGCCCGTCAGAATCCACCTGATTTGAAGAGCACAAATATCTTAAGCAGCACAAGACTATACTGCAGCACAAACTTATAATAAACAAAACATTACCATCCGTTGGTGTTGATGCTAATATAGTTATAATTATAGTTATCTTTACAGTCTTATCAGTTAAATTTGACTACTCAGATGAACATTGATTACATATTACATGTGACTGTTGAACTATGAAAAGAATCAGAATAAGAGATGACAGCCCTAGTGAAAAATAAATACAATAAAATGTATTTGAAATACATTTATTTCATGCTAAGTATGCTACAAATACATTTGCATATTGATGTACTTAATTAAAATACCCTGCAATTGTACTGAACTGGTATACATAAAGTCTGCTGAATTGGAACAACTAATTTTGTACTTGACGCACTTTAATTGTGCAGAAGTAGTGCTGAAGTTTAATTAAAGATGAACAGAAGTATATTTGATTGTGCTAAAGTGGAACTATTGCAAGTATACTTCAGGTACACTTTAAATATCTTGCATTTAATGACAGACATTATTCAAAGATCATACAATCCTCATCAATAATGACATTAAAACACATTTTAGGCTTAATATGTGCATTGTGCACAAGTAGTACTCCAAATAAAGTTTAATTATAATTTTATATCACTTGATATAAGACTTGAGCGATATGTCAGTAAATTATGTTAAAGGGGTCATATGATGTTGCTAAAAAGAACATTATTTTATGTATTTGGTGTAATGAAATGTGTTTATGCGGTTTAAGGTTAAAAAAACATTAAAACCCATTATAAACGAGGCTTCCCTTTCATGGGAACTTCGAACTGCGTCCTCTAGGGGTCGCTATGGGGGAACGCCTCGTCGTGACCCGTGTCTGAAGCATACATTGAAAAAACACCAACAACACGTTGACCGGCGACAGCCATGACGTCACTACCGGTGCGACTATAGTATAAATAGGCGCCGGGAG